TTAGAATACAAACTGAATAATACCACATCTCTCAGATATCAAGAGCAGGTATTTTGCTGCTTTATTTAAATAACCATCGAAATATGTAGATTTGTAAGAATATATCATAAGAGAACTTGATATACGGGTGTATAGTTTGTGTTGTGTTTTTTAAATAGTGAGTTGAATACTTGTAGTTACTCTAAATCTTGGTAGGTCTCTACAACTTTATTTTAAGGACAAATACCTGAATGGATCAATTTCAACATGTGGTCATTTGACATATTTTCAAGAAGGCAAATTCAGTTAATATTTTGTGGTAATGGAGATTCATGTATCACATTCCTGATTACGAGATATTCTAGAACAATAATCCAGTTTTAGTAGATCATTCCTTTTCATTCCCCGAATGAGACAATACTCTGAATCATATACGGACGTGTTGATTTAATCAGTTCTGCTTTGATGATAAAAACCTCACATCAATGGCCTCTTTCGTTTATAACCCTGTTCCCCTCGTTTTTCCTGCACAATTCATGCACCCGCGTAACAGGTCATAAATAAAGATGGAGATCGATGAATAGTTAGAATGCAATCAGATGAACTGACTTCCCAGAACCATGCATTAATCGAATATCTCGTTTCATTTTAAACAAATCGAGTCGTTGATACCAAAAGAGATTTGAACAACGTAACTCTAGCATCGTTAGATTAACTTACAATGTGTTAGAGAAAACAAAATTTAGTGATGATTGTTATGTATTACGGGCCATTCTTAATTAGTTGAAAAATAGAAAACATAATTGTGTATTCATGAAGTATTCATAAAATAATTTAATTGTGTTAGAGAAAACAGTATTTAGTGATGATTGTTATGTATTACAGGCCATTCTTAATTAGTTGAAAAGTAGAAAACGCAATTGTGTATTCATGACGTATTATCCTGTCAAAAAACTTAACCATAGTGCTTCAAGGCGCAACACCTGAGCTATTAGAAAACCATAAGAATATTTTAACTTTTTTCAGGGGGCTTTTTACAGCTTCGGGAAAAGCCGATTTTTCGACTATCTGCGCCGGATACCCGCTATCTCCCTTGTGATGACACAAATTAACTTTTACACGAGACAGTGACTCACCTGCGGTCTCTTCAGTCTGTACAGCAGACTCACAAAGCCTCCGAGACATGCAAACGAACACGCCCACGACGGGACTCGAACCGGCGACCCTTCCGACCGAGGTGTTGAGTCGACACACGCTCTAGGCATCTCGGCAGTATTTTAACAACATAATCCATTGTTATCTTAGTTTTAAACCCTTACGGTAACTAAAATAACTTTGCGTTCAGTGTAGAATTCAAGAATATGTGTTTCAATATATCACATGTATTCTCATGAACTATTCTTCTCAATTTCTGATATTACATGCATGCAATTGCCTGTTTATTTAACGTCTTGTTTACACATTGCTGAAAGATGCTGATTGGTTGATTGTCTTACATTTCTACGCAGTAGTTTGTTAAGAAAGCACAAATGTATTAATTCGAATATTTAATTACTTTTAGAAATTTAATTTGAGGAAAAACGATATTTGTGATCGCAAACAAACACTTGATATAACCTCGAACGTATTAAATATTATTATCAATGAGTTACTGGGACAAAAATATGTCATCGGATATTTCGTAATGGAGTATTAACACAATATTATTGAAATGTCGATCTTTATTAGTTCAGTATAAGGATAAAGTGGGTGTCAAAATAAAAAATCGACAGGCAAATGTGAGTCATAAAGTATTTTTTTTACTTCTAATAATACATATAATTACATGAAGTAATAAAATGAAGTTCTACGATAATTCTTTGCTGATGTAATTTAAATGGGATCACTAATTAGTTCATTTATTTCGCAAAGTTTCTGAAATGACAATTCGGTGAATTGGTAAACTTTAACCTTTTTTAACTCTAGATAATTATTAACTGAACTTGATTAATACAAATTTTTGGAAAGAAATAATTATTTATCCACAAGAATTACTGTCAATTTTTTAATGATATACCTTAATCGAATCTTTAAAATTTCTTTCATGTTAATCCATAAAAATGAGTGCGTAATATTTCTCCGCCATTTAAAAAAACAAACTCGGATAAAATATCACCAACAAGCCAAAACACAAATCCATCAGATACGCGCGTGCCCCGAATCTATCCACGCGCCGCCGCCAGGCCGATCAGACGCGTTATCGAACACGGGACCCCGCCGCGCGCGCGCTCCGTTAAACGCTGCCCGGTTCCGGGCCGAGCCGCAAGAATAATTGGCCGCAATTATGAAAGGCCGGGCGGCAGGGACAGCGGAAACACACAACAATTAATTAGCAGCCGATACATCTTGGAACCCGGCCGTGCGGCGTGGCTTGGGTGGGGCGGGCGCGCGGGCCGGGGCGGAGGCGGGGGCGGGCTGGCGGGGCAGAGCCGGAGGCGGGGCGGGGCGGGGGCAGGGGGCGGGGCGGGCGGGGCGGGGCGAGGCGGGGCGCGGCCGGCCAGCCGGGCGACTGCGCATCCCGACCTTTTAATTTCACGGTGCGCTCACCTTGATCGGCCAGCGCCCAGGACTGGGCGCCAGCGCCGCGCAGGGAAGGGCGGAGGTGAAGACGAGAGAGAAATCGAGTTCGGAAATCGCACACGGAGTGAGATGGAGAGAGATGATGATTCAGGCAAATATTTCCCAGGCGGACGACGGAGCAGATACACATCACTGCGGTTGAGAACTGAGAAACACACGTTTAGCGTGTGCAGAAACAACGCTCTAAATTTATCTGATAAATACATGTCGAAAATGTACAAAAGGGAAAGCTCGAAATGTGGGAAAGGAAGCTAAAGTTGACACAAAAATGTGGTGAAAAGTATAAATAATTTGAGACAATACTAAATTTGAAGAGAAGAAATAATCAGAATTTAATAAATAAATATTGAGAACACAATGAGAGATTGTAGCTTAGATACAAATGTAATGAGTTCAAACAATGAGAGAATGTAGCTTAGCTACATATTTAACGAGTTCAATCGTTGATTACAAAAAGGAACAAAACAGCAAAATTGCCTAAAAAGAATCCAGTGCGTGGGAGTAGGTGGAGGTACTTTGTGAGAAGCGATACTGAGGGAAAACGATAAAGAGCACGAGTACTACTAAGCAACATGAAACGAAGGCAAAAGAGGGAGCTGGGAGCGGCGAAAAGAAAGAACTGGACTAGAGAAAGTAGGAAAATGGTGAACAACACATTTTTCTCTCCCTCTCCCTCTCTCTCTTTCCGTCTCCGAGGGGAGGAGAGAACGCTCTCCGCCACTCTCTCTATCGATTCCGTCGGCGGGG